AAAAATCTACTCTCGTTGCTGCTAAAATAAAAGTCAAAGTGGCATGGCGTGGCGTGTTAAGTTTAAAAAATATATACATACTTACATGTGTATATGAAGCAGCGTAATGGTGTGTAGAGTGGCTGGCCAGTGCAATTTTATCTTTTTGGTTTCATTTTATTTTATTTGATGAAAATTAAGTTTTCACTCCTCCCCCATATCAACATGTCAATCGTTCAATTTGTTGRCCTGTGTTATTAACCAAAACATTCATACAAAAAAAAAAAAAAAATAATAATAAATAAAAACAAACAACTTTGGAATGATCTCAATTTAGCAATGTTGTAGTGTGTGTATAAGAGTATTATTTTTCCTCTTTATAAAAAAAAGAAACATATATAAAATTACCAAAAAACATAACACACATTACATAATATAAAAACTAATTATTTTAATTGAATGTACATCGAATTTGTATTTTTAATGTGAGTTGAAAATGATTACAAAATTTTTAAACAAATTAAATTAATTATTTTAATTCATGCACATTTCAACAATTCATAGAACTACAACACAAGCAAAAAATAACAACAAAAAAATTAACTAAAAAGTATAAAAATAAAATAAATGTGTAAAAATATTCAACAAACAATTTTGTAAGCAAATTAACAAAAAAAATATATGTAATAAAAACTGCACCGTTAAGAGTTATGGTTGAAGGCGTGCATCATTTGATTTTAAAAAATTTCGAAAAAAATAGCATTCAAAGTGCTAAAAGTTTAAAATCATCCTTTGAAGAAAAAATCTAAAATTTTATGCAAAACAAAGAATAATTAGAACAAAGTAAAATTTTTATAATGAGAAAAAAATTACAATTTTCATAATTAGAAATAGTTAAAATTTGTGCTTGTTATATAACCATAATCTCTCTCCGGCGCAGTGGCATTTGTTGACGTTGTATTGAGTGCACTGAAGCATATGCGCAAGGGCAATAGTCGAAAGCAGCAAGTTTTAACTTTACAAAAGCAAAGAGCAGCAACAGTAACAATAGCAATAAAAAACTTTGCAACCTTTTCTAGCAACTTATTTGATTATGYGTAATTGTAATTTATTTGGTTTGCTGTTAGTGCATTTTAAGCATTTCGAATTCTTCAAGTCCCTCATTCATTTTATGATCGATCAATTATAAATACTATTTTAGTTATTTAGTGACAATTTTTTTTGCTTAAGAAATACATATATATATCTGTCTCTTATACACATCTAGATGTGTATAAGAGACAGGTATATATATATGTATATATACATTTAATTAAATTTAATTTTTAATTGTTTTATTTAATTTTTAAATAAAGTTTTTGCATATTTTTGTTTTGTTGATTTGTACATAGTAGATACAACAAACTATGCTATGTAGTAGTATTAGTATGTAGAATGTGTGTTTTGTGTATGCACTTGAGCTGATCGTTTGTGCTTCAGTGTTTTGTGCAAGTGAAACCCAGTAAACAGCTTACAACTGTAGATATTCTTATGTATGTAAATTATGAAGAAACAAAAATAATATATAATTGTAATTATTTGATTATCAGTGTGAGAAAAATTGTAAAAATTACTTAAGCCTACAATTGTAATAAAAAAGTATATCAAAATAGCTTTTGTTATTGGCAAATGAACAATTTAATAAAATATATATATTTGAAAGAAAAATTAATTTTAACAACTGGTSGTTTTGATTTCGAACAAAAAATGAAAGGAAAACACTCCTCTTCRCARGTGGGTATGAAAAGGTATTTAACTTGATTATGAACGGAAATTGTARTTAAATTCTCTGGGTAAATGATATCTCAAAACAAAAAAAATGTATTTTGCTAAGTTTTTAGGACTGTCCTTAATTATGRTACCAAATATGAGCACGATCTGTCAACCAGTTTGTTCACAGCAGTCGATTAAGTCGATACACCTCAGTAGGGTGTTGCGATTTTTACAAATGGATCTACATAAATATCGAACGAAGAATTTGTCTAAGATTTTGTATTTCTAACCGAATTTCGTGTGTGGAATAATTGCGAATGTTGGAAAATGCTTACGGTGATTCGTGCAATGCCGATCCCACTTCATGGAGAGCATTGTAACTGCCGATGAGAAATGTGTTCATGAGTTTGACATGCAAACAAGTCAACAATCCTCGGAATGGAGACAAAAAAAACAGAGCCGAAAAAAAAAACACTCCAAAATCGCTCAAACATCAAGGTGATACTCAATGTGTTTGGTGCATCATGAATTTGTTCCGGAGGGACAGAAAGTCAATACGGATTCGATTTGTCAGTATTAAGGTGTTTGCGTGGCAACATCCGTCAAAAACGCCCGGAATTTTGGGAGAMCAATTCATGGATTTTACATGATGATGAAGCTCCATCGTATCGAGCTACGCTTGTGACCGCATTTAAAACCAAAAACGCAATGAATACTATTGATTAGCCACTGTATTCACCAGATTGGCGCCGTGTGATTTTTCTTGTTCCCCAAACTGGAATTGCAACTCCGTGGAACCCACTTTAGTCGATCGAAGAGATAARACAAAAATCGATTTCTCGAAGTGGCGTATTAAAAATAGCTTTCTGTAGATAATTATCAGTAGGATAAACATATTACCCAAATTTTCTCATTTAGTGGTACCTTTTTTTCATTGTTGTTTGGTATTTCATTATGGAAACACATACGCCTGAACAACGTTTACAAATCGTTACAAACTTTATTACGAAAATTCAAGTTCTATAAAGAATGTGTTTCGCCCGCTTCGCTCAACTTATGGCTAACATAATAACCCAGCATTCTTTTGTGTTTTTCTTTAAACATTCCCCATTGATTTTGAAGTTTTTGTGTTTTGTTTTTTAAGTAGGGGGATCGAAATGTTTCACCCTTTAGTTTAAAGAGTTCTGGTACTACAGTTATTTTCAATAAATACTACCCCCTGCTGGTTTCAACAATATATCTGAGCCAAATTACTTCTTGCTGTCATTCTAATCATTGCAATATATATGACCACACAACTATAAACTCTCGTTGTTATTAGCAGCGAGCGTATAAAGAGCATCCATCTTGATGTCGTCAATGCGCCGACAGCTAGTGATCCATCATATAAACCAAGTAGCAGAAAAAAATTGTTCATTAATTGATTTCCGTTCGCCACTTCTGACAAAACGATAACTGTTTACCTGATCTCAACCGAAGATGGCTGCATGATCAACTTTAAATCAAGCAGTTGCAAAGCAATTCGAGCGTAAATCATATTGCCACCGATTGAAGTTAGTATCAATTATACAGATGTATCGTATGTACTGTATAAACGCTAGGCAGTGTCTAAACTAATACAGCTTACAGAAAGTTGATAAATCACTGCGCATTTTAGTGCTAGCTTTGCCCGTTAAGCGTTGCAAGCGATGCACCTGCGTTCCAGCAAATTCCACTAGCACACACACACCTATAATACATAAATACGAATGTGGCTAACGTCGGTGCCGTCTAATCACGGCAAACAAAGCGATTCCAGCGAAACCTTAGGGACAAACATACGGTTGGTCATCTCATCAACCGGCCTATTAGACGGTGGTGTGAATAGGTCGTTCGGCTAGTTTATTTTTATGCCTTGGGGTCATTAAAAGCCAAGCTTTGGTMGCCTTAAGAGCCTTAATTAGAGAGTCGAATATGGCTGGCGACTTAAGTTCCATTTTCATTTCCGATGCGATCGCTAGAAGCTTTATAATCATAAGCGCTTACTTACATACATACAAATATACTTAKACATGCACAGAAAAAAACACAAATRCAGACACGCATGCTTACATACATACACACACATACTTATGTAAGAATGTTCAAGACTTCATGTGCGTGCCTGTTCAGGTGTGCAAGTGTACTTTGCGCTGTGGAAATGACCATATGATTGCTTTATTATTTTTACCGTTGTGCGGCAAAGAAAATAGTCTGAGAAAATGACTACGAAAGAGAGAAAACGGCAGTGAAATGATGAAACGTAATGAATAGGCATATTCAACTGAACACATCTACCTTTCATACATGCATATTCATATATATGTAGAGAACATTCATTCGTTTGTAAGTGCTTTCGCATTGTATGTACATATGTTTGTAAACATGTTTGTGTATAATTACATATGGGCATAATTACCGTCTTGTGAAAGTTACAAATGTTGGCTACGCCAACCCAGAACAAAATTTCACATCAAATTAGGGAGTTTTAGGGATTCTTTCGCTTGACTTTTTGCTTTTCACGCTAAAGTACAATACATATGTGCATATGTTATATATAGTATATGGTTTGTAAGCAGGCGTATGCGTGTTTATATATACATTTTACAAATGCAAACAAAACGTAATTGTTTGACTTTTTAATCTTTGTTTCTTCATTTGTTTCGGTCAAATAAAAGCGCTCTATGCTGCTTTTGAATTCTTTCTAAGGGCGCAACGGTTCTGGACAGGTTGGCAGGTTCATTACCCTTAGCGAGAAATACTCGCAAATGTTTGCGAATGGAAATTCATAAGCTCTGTCTGATGTCTGAATGTGAAATTTTTTAAAAATTTAAATTTCTCATTTCTTCAAAAATTACAATAATCTGCATTCGGCCATTGGTGAAGCAAGTTTACAGGCAGCGACTGAGTTATTGGTGAAAAAAGTTTCTTTTGCAAGTTAGACTCAATAAGAAAAAGATTAACTTCAGTTCACAAAAATTTTTTTTTCATGTTTTCGTACGCGAATTTGATTTTGAGCGGTCGGTATGTATGCAGCTAAATTCTACTGCGCTTTGTTCTGCACAATTTTTTGTTTGTTTGGCAATATTTATTATTAATCGAAAGTGTTAGCCGCAGC